TTTTTAAAAATAATTTTTTATGGATTTTAGAGAGGAAGGGAATGGGAGAGAGAGAGATAGGCACATCAGTGATGAGAGAGAATCATTGATTGGCTGCCTCCTGCACACTTCACACTGGGGATCGAGCCCACAACCCAGGCATGTACCCTGACCAGGAATCAAACCGTGATCTCCTAGTTCATAGGTCAGCACTCAACCACTAAGCCATTCCAACTGGGGCTAATATCCATTTTTGTTTGTTTGTTGTTATTGTTTTAAGATATACATATTGATTTCAGAGAGAAAGGGAGAGGGGAGAGAGAGATAGAAACATCAATGATGAGAGAGAATCATTGGTCAGCTGCCTCCTGCACACACCCCACTAGGGAATGAGCCAGCAACCTGGGCAAGTGCCCTTGACCGGATTCAAACCTGGCACCCTTCAGTATGCTAGCTAGGGCTCTATTCACTAAGCCAAACCAGCTAGAGCCAACACCCATTTTTGATAAAAACTCTCAGCAAAGTGCGAATAGATGGAGCATATTTCAACATGATAAAGGCCATAATATAACAAACCTACAGCTAACATCATACTCAATGGGTAAAAACTAAAACCAGTTCCCTTAAGAACAGGAACAAAACAGGGATGTCCGCTTTCACCACTCTTATTTAACGTAGTACTAGAAGTCCTAGCCACAGCGATCAGACCAGAAGATGAAATAAAAGGCATCCAAATTGGAAAGGATGAAGTAAAACTATCATTCACAGATGACATGATATTGTACATAGAAAACCCTAAATATTCCACCAAAAAACTACTGGGCTTAATAAGTGAATTTGTCAATGTAGCAGAATATAAAATCAGCACCCCAAAATCTATGGCTTTCTTATACACCAATAGTGATTTCTCAGAAAGAGGAACTAAACAAACAATCTCATTTACCATTGCAACAAAAAATTTAAGATACAAAAAAAATTTTTAAGATACTTAGGAATAAACTTAACCAAGGAGGCAAAAGACCTGTACTTGGAAAACTACAGGAAGTTGAAAAAAGAGAAGATATAAACAAGTGGAAGAATATGCCATGTTCATGGATTGGTTGAATCAACATCATTAAAATGTCCATACTACCTAAAGCATTCTACAGATTCAAAGCAATCCCTATTAAAATACTAACAGCATATTTCACAGATCTAGAACAAATACTCCAAAAAATTGTATGGAGTCAAAAAAAGACCCTGAATAGCTGCAGCAATCTTGAGAAAGAAGAACAAAGTTGGAGGAATCACAATACCAGATTTCAAGGTATGCTACAAAGCCACCGTAAGCAAAACAGCCTGGTACTGGCACAAGAACAGACATATAAATCAATCGAACAGAACAGAGAACCCAGAAATTGACCCAAGACATTATGCTCAATTAATATTTGACAAAGGACGCAAAAACATACAATGGAGTCAAGAGAGTCTCTTTAATAAGTGGTGCTGGGAAAGTTGGACAGATACATGCAAAAAAAGATGAAACTAGACCACCAACTTACACCATATTCAAGAATAAACTCAAAATGGATAAAAGACTTAAATTTGAGAAACCATAAAAATCCTACAAGAAACCATAGGCAGCAAAATCTCAGACATCTCTTGTAGCGATATGTTTACAGATACATCTCTTTTTTAAAAAAAAAAATAGATTTTATTGATTTTTTACAGAGAGGAAGTGAGAGGGATAGAGAGTTAGAAACATCGATGAGAGAGAAACATCGATCAGCTGCCTCCTGCACGCTCCCTCCGGGGATGTGTCTGGAACCAAGATACATACCCTTGGCCAGAATCGAACCTGGGACCCTTCAGTCCGCAGGCCGAAGCTCTATCCACTGAGCCAAACCTGTCAGGGCTACAGATACATCTCTTAAGGCAGTGGTTCTCAACCTTCCTAATGCCACTACCCTTTAATACAGTTCCTCATGTTGTGATGACCCCCAACCATAAAATTATTTTTGTTGCTACTTCATAACTAATTTTGCTACTGTTATGAATCATAATATAAATATCTGATGTACAGGATGTACTTTCATTGTTACAGATTGAACATAATTAAAGCATAGTGATGAATCACAAAAACAATATGTAATTATACATGTGTTTTCCGATAGTCTTAGACGACCCCTGTGAAAGGGTCGTTCAACCCCCAAAGGGGTCGTGACTCACAGGTTGAGAACCACTATCTTAAGGCAAAGGACATGAAGGAGAAAATAAACAAATGGGACTACATCAAAATAAAAAGCTTCTGCACAGCAAAATAAAAAAAAAATCAACAAAATGAAAGGGAGCTTACTCTATGGGAGAACATATTTGGCAATGATACATCTGATAAAAAGCTAATGTCCAAAATATATAAGGAACTCATACAACTTAACAAAAGGTAGACAAACAATCCGAGTTAAAAAATGGACAAAGGACCTAAATAGACACTTCTCCAGAGACATTTGAAAAAAAGTTCAGTCACTGGTCATCAGAAAGATGCAAATCAAAATGACAATGAGGTACCATCTCATACCTGTCAGGATGGCTATCATTAACAAATGAACAAATGACAAGTGCTGGTGAGGATGTGGAGAAAAGGGAATCCTAATACACTGCTGGTGGAATGCAGACTGTTACAGCCATTATGGAAAACAGTATGGAGTTTCCTCAAAAAAATTTAATATGGAACTGCCCCCTTTGATTCCACTTCTAGGAATATATCCTAAGAAACCTGAAACACCAACCAGAAAAAATATATGCACCCCTATGTTCATAGCAGCACAATGTATAATAGCTAAGATTTGGAAACAGCCCACGTGCTCT